AAAAAAAAAAAAAATCTCCATGCCTTTTTGCATTTCTCTTTACAGATTCTTGTCCTGGGAGGGAGGAATGAATCCCACACATTCTGGGCCTGTCGGGATGCCAAGTAGAGGAGGTGTATTTTATTTATTTTTAAATTTTTATTATTATTATTTTTAGAGACAGAGTCCTGCTTTGTCGCCCTCAGTGGAATGCTGTGACATCATAGCTCACAGCAACCTTAAACTCTTGGGCTCAAAGAGATTCTCTTGTCTCAGTCTCCCTGGTAGCTGGGTCTACAGGTGCCTGCCACATTGCCCAGCTATTATTTTTAGAGACAGGGTCTGGCTCTTGCTCAGACTGGTCCTGAACTCCTGAGCTCAGGCAATCCACTGGCTTGGACCTCCCAGAGTACTAGTATTACAGGCATGAGCCACCGTGCCTAACCTTGGAGGTGCTATTTTAACTTCAATCTGGTGCCAAAGGTGTCAGAAGAACTTAGAAATTAGTTGACATTCACCTGAATCATACACTACACAATGTATTCTTAGAGAATTATTTTTGGAATTTTTTATTACATGTTCATTTTGCACCTTGATTTTATCTTTAGCACTAACCTAGTGCTAATGCAATCAATTGCACTCCTCTCTCTGCCAGAGGCAGGTTTCATCTTATTTAACCTATGTTTTAAGATCATAAAGGGAGAGAACTTAGTGCATCTAATGAGAGCAGTTTCGTGACTGCAAGTGCTCATTTAGGATATTGACTCCTGATCTGCAGTCTATGCTGATAGGGGGCCCCAGGGCTTGGCTGTGTCATTCAGCAGGCACCTGAATTCAGTAGTTTATAATACAAATACTGTATTTCTTAGTAGGATTAAGGGTGTTGATAGTTCTCACTTTTAATGATGGATCTGTTTAATTTTTGGATTATAACTAGGGAGACAAGAATGAATAAAATGGCTATGACAATTTCTACTATGTTTTTTTCTTTTTTCTAAAAATTGGCCTCCACAGGGACTGTTAAAAATTGCCCATACCAGGCGGCACCTGTGGCTCAAAGGGGTAGGGTGCCAGCCCCATATGCCGGAGGTGGCAGATTCAAACCCAGCCCCGGCTAAAACCTGCAAAAAAAAAAAAAAAAAAATTGTCCATACCAACTATATTCCAAGTCATCAAGATGGGGGGATTGTGAAGTTTTTGATTAGCAATAATCTGAAAACATCATTGGCTACAATACTACCACTGTGCAAAGCTGTACTTATTTTCATAAAATTTTGTGCCACATATATGCAGAGAAAACAACCAAATGAAAATGATTCTGAACCAGTATTGTTCTTGTTGACGTATAGATGAATAGACACTAAAGGAAAGAAGGAAAGCAGGGTATACCATTATCTCATTAAAAGAGCCAGTTTCTTCTCTTTTTGGAAAAGTTCCAGTAACCTATAATCTATCAAAACTTACGTTTTAAAAGATTGTGCACTGGGCGGCGCCTGTGGCTCAATGAGTAGAGCACCAACCCCATATACCGAAGGTGGTGGCTTCTAACCCAGCCCCGGAAAAACTGCAACAAGAAAATAGCCGGGCGTCGTGGTGGGTGCCTGTAGTCCCAGCTACTTGAGAGGCTGAGGCAAGAGAGTCGCCTAAGCCCAAGAGCTGGAGGTTGCTGTGAGCGCTTATGCCACAGCATTCTACCAAGGGTGACAAAGTAAGACGCTTGTCTCTAATAAAAAAAAAAAAAAAAA